TCATAGAAACTCAAGATACTTAAAAATCCACCCCACCCCCATCTCTTCTAAAGTACTTGGTTTTAAGCATAATCCTAAAGGTAATGAAGACATAGCTAGCTAGCTACCCATTTGCCTTTCTCCATAAATTGTCCTTAAAACATCTTAATTTCACTCAGTTTTTGACATCAGTGGTGTGACGAATAGATGTCCTGTTGATTCTGACAAATTAGTCTTCTAGAGCTTGATTCATTGAATCTCTAGAAACATCTTTTAGCTTGTTAAACTACCATAAGTTTGCTCATGTTGAAGTTGCATGGTCCTTGTGATGTGAAAAGGCCATTGTTACCAATAGTTGGATTTACTGGTTTCAGAAGTGTTGCTGGAAAATCTTTCTAGGTTGTGGTTGCTGTTATATGAAATTTTGATGAGAGTACATTCTGCTGCCTGGCACTCTTCTGTAGGTCATGCAATCGAGGCATGGTATTTTCTCAGCTTTTGTGCTCCTTAACACCAGAACAAGTTCAGGAGGCTCTGAAGCAGCTTTCTCTATCAGTTGGCCAAACTAAAGGAATACAGTAGGCCTTAAGAGAAGAGGTGGGCAAGTTATGACTGCATGTGAAAACAGTGCTCCTACTAACCAGTGTTTCATCCATGGAGGGACCAGGCAGTTCGACAGCCACCCACGTGTCTTCTCATTTACTTGTTCTGAAAGACTTTACAAATGCATCTGTACTTTTAGCTGCTCTCATATGGATTAGTGGTAATTTTTGGTGTACAATTTTCAGATAATTATAGTAAATTCTTCATGGTATTAAAGAGTGAGATAGGGTGAACTAATAAAGAAAGTTGATATTCTAAACTTACAACAAAGTTTAGAATATCAACTTTCTTTATTAGTTCAAGTACTAAACTCTTTTCCCCAGAAATGCTAATAGTTAGCACATTACTTGAGTTACATTTTCTCTTCCCACCTCCAGAGTCGATAACTAAAAGTGTTGCCAGGACAAAGATCTAAATGTAAACAAACAACGAATGAAACAAACAAAATCAAGGGTTGACTATGAAGCCATGTATGGGTCCATTTATACATGGATTGATACTCACAGAATGAAATTTTATGTAAGTGGGATTACATTGTACTCTTTGCCTGTGTTCAGAAGGAGATCAGTACTATTTTGGAAGAAAATTTTTAATATTTCAGTCTTCATCACTGAGCTCATTTAAAAGAGCAAAGCACTTCAATGCTTTCTAGCAAAATGTTTAGATTATTCTTCAAATTCACATGTCCTTCTTTATAAGTCACTTATTTCCTAACCTGCTTAGCATCTTTTTATATCTTATAATTATATTTAATCTCTCCATGCATTTCTTATAACATATCTGTAATTATTTAATGTTCATTCAAATAATAACAATTTTTGTGAGATTCAGGGTAAGATATTGAAATCATCTCTTTATTAAAACACTAGTTGACTAGTTGCTCTGTGGGTAAAGATCCATGGATATTTATGTATCAAACCTGTGCTAAGTTCAGCAAGGATTAGAAAAATGAGCAAAACAGTCCTTTCCCAAGAAGAGCCATACATAGGAGGAAGATTCTACAGAGAGGTGTGAAGATCATCAAGAAGTACACACATCTGTGCACTGTACCTGTTTGGAAAAAATGCATTGAAGTCACAACAATGAGAAACTGCTGCTCCATACTAAAAAGTCACATAGGGAGGCAGCATAGCTCTGTGGAAAGCATAGGGAGCTCTGAGTTCTAGTCTTTTTGCCACCGCCAACTRAGAAACTCTGAGCAAATTTCCTCTGGCTTTCTTCTTTCCCCAGTTTTTCCTGTCTGTCCAGTGGACTTTAACTAAATCTTCTAGTTTGTAAATATTGTGTTTTAAATCATGGATTTGCTTTTCCCTTCATCGAAAATACAACCTGTATTTTCACTGTTTTCAGATACTTTTGGGCAATGAATATCCTATTTTTAGTTATTATTAAGGAATATAGTAATAATTTGTAAATTGTCTATATTTGCATGATGATTTCAAATGGACTTAATCAAATAAGATTAAATAATTAGAGCCGTCACATAATTTATATTCAGAGTTCTTTAACACATGTGCAATACCAAACATTTATAAATATTAGGTTGTCAATTCTGTTATAAAAATAAATATGTATGATTTTGGAATAAGGGGAGGGGAATCCCAACAACACTGCCAGGGCACTCAAGTCTCCTTTGGATGTAGCTGTGGGTCTGATAGACTTGTACCAAGAGCATTTGGAGGTAATCTTTTGGTGCTTGACTTGGGAAGCAGAGAATTGGTCTGGGGGGTTGTTTTTGAAGATTTTTGTTCTTTTTTCCATTGAAACAGATTTATTGGTCTCCAGTCAGTGTTGAGACCATCAGTACATTATCAGTCTAAATTTATTTAGCTGGCTTCTCTTCCTTTTTCTAAATGGGAAGTGAGAAGCTCCTAATTAACTAAATTTTAACCTAGAATATTTGTATACTCAGAAATATAATGTGTAATATGTATATTAATGCCCTTTGAAATAAACCTAATTTTAACGATATGATGTTCCCAAAATACCCTATTCTGAGTGTATTTTATAAGTGATTCTTATGTATCATACAATGTTTTGGTTTCATTTATTCATGCAAGTAAAAGCACTTTTGAGGCCTGACAGAATCAGAGATTGGTATAGTCACTTTGTGAAGCTGTTCTTCCATTTGAAGGGAACAATATTGTGTACTACTGGAAACCTAAGCATGGTGACACATCATGAAAAGAGGCATTTGGGGATACTCGGAAGAAAGCCTACAGCAAGTTTTTGGAATTTTACTCATTGCCTTATAAAATGAATAACATACTTAAATACTATTAAACTTGAAGAACTTTGGCCTTTTCCATTGGTCTTTTACCATTGGTTCTTGCTATCAATGTTACATATGTTATCAGAAAAGTTGGGCAGGCGATACCTGGCCAAAATGTAGATCCAGTCTTGAAGCACAGGTGTTCCTTTTGTTAGTTGAATACTGTCTGATTTTCATTCCTGTGTAATTTACCTGCTCGGAGATTAAGAAAGCTCCTTTTTATTAAATAAGCTTGAAAATAAGATGAATGCTCTAGGTTCTTGGGTAGAAAATATTGGATAGCTCCCTTTATAATGAGTATTTAAAAATCTGCCCTCCCCAAACTGGAAAATGCATTCTCTCTTGTGTGGAAAGCAATATAGTACTGAAATATTCCTCCTTAATTTTGGTCTGAACGAACAAAAGTGTCTGTGTTTATTCCTGCCTAATGCATCACAAATCTGCTGACATGCTAACCTTGGAGTCTTGGCTGGCGTTAATCAGGCCTGTGCACCGGCAGGCAGGATGCACCTAATGCACTCCATCAGTGCAGCTTGCATATGGAAGTTCTCACGGGGGAGCTGCCCTGTGCCAGCCGAGGGTTACCTGCCCACTGCAGTTATTGTATGTAATTATCGAACCAATCTGTTCAGCCCAGCAGGGTTTAGATGGTAATCATGAAGCAACACTTTGGAAAAGAAAGATGTAAGGCACTCTCTCCTTCTCTCATCAGTTATGTGAAGTTATAGCCACTCTTAGAGCTATTTTTGAGAAACAATACCTCCATATACAAATCGGCTAAATGAATGCCTTTTAAAGTTTAAGATTAGTCAAGTTGTTGTTTTTGTATCTGTGAAGAATTTTCTTTAGGGACATGGTGGGTGTCTCTGAGTTCTGATCTTTTTCCACAGCCACCTTAAGCATGTTTTGAAACAGTGGGATTAATTGTAATACCTAGATAATAACAGTTCTGACCATTTGTGGGGTTTAAGATGATGTAGCTTGAATAGAGTTCAGCTTTCTCATATAGTTCTCTGTGGAAAAGAACCCACTGTTGCCATTAGGAGACAGAACAATGTGCTGTCAGCAGGTATTGTCTTGTTTTATAGCGATATACAAAATGGCCTGCAGCAAGGAACGCTCTGAGAGGGAGTCTAACTTCATATTAATTGTTAGGAAATATAAGTGAGGACATTCTGGTGCATCGTGATTCTCTGAAATTTGGGACATATCAGATAATTTCCTAAATGGTACAAACTTATTTTAAGTAACCTACAGAAGCTCTGAATTAAAATTTGGATTTTTACTCATTTAAATTTGAAACTACATGGGACAAAGTTATAAAAAATACATTTTATACTCATGACAAATGTCCCTTGTTAATTATATAGAGAGATATTAAGTAACTTAAAAGCTTGACATAGATCTGGATTAGCTAAAAATGTTTTAATGATAGAATGTAATAAGAGGAAATTGGATGAATATTTGGGAAGAATGGATGGTAACACTCCTAAGTAACACCCAACCTGGAAGATGAATAGTGGTTTTTGAAAGTTTAGGAAAGCTTCATACTTTTAAGGTTGTTCATTCACAGTAAAGCTTAGGACCTTCATATTTAAACTTTTAATAAAAAGTACTCTAAAAAAGAGAATTTATTAGAAGTTTGTCATTATTGATTCATGAGTATGATTTTATCACCAGTATTGGTGTTGTGTAACCTCTGACACAAAATATGAGGTAAGGTGTGTATTCTTCCATTTTCAAGTAGCTACCTACCCCTGCCACATCTGAAAGTGAAAAGCATGACTATCATTGGCCTGAGTGGTGACAGCAAATTTGTAAAACGTTTCATTTTGAAAGTGAGTTTCTTTGATCATCCTGATGGTCAAACATAGCTTTCAACGGTGAACTATATTAAATATGAAAACTTTGAGGTGGMTAGAACAAGTATKTCCGTCATCCAGACTGTGTAGCCGGAAGTTCTCTTACTCCCCTTTTGTTCCACTTCCCATTCCTTCTCTTAAGTAATAACTACCCTGAAATTATAAAGATTCTTCCCATGTTTTGACATAGCCACACTGAAATACATTCATGTAAATACTAATTTATGATAGGTTTGTATATTTACTAGTTAATCAGACTGCATCTCTCTATTTTTATATGTAAGAAGAGAAAGAAAGAAATAGAGGAAAGCACTGAATCTAGTGTTGAAGATATGGAATGCTCAAATATACAGACAGAGGAGGCCGCACAAACCCGTAAGTTGAACAGTTTTGCATACCTTCTATATTAGGCACAAAGATGCGTTATTTGGGTTATATAACATTTTGATTTTATTACAAAATATATAAATCTTATATTTGCATAGCACGTATCACAGTGTCTTCTATGCACACATTATCTTATTATTCTTAACATTGGTCATAAAGTTGGGACTGGGAGTTGGCACCAAGCAATTAAATGGCAGAACTGTTGTGAAAGGGCAGGAGGTAGAGGCCAGAACTCTTTTAACTCTCTGACCAGTAACTTCCACTCCCTCCCACTGATCCACATACCTGGAGAGAAAAGTGAAGGTCAGGAGTCAGTACTGGCTTAGCACACTTGCAAACTTCTTGATGAGTTGCCTGGTTAGTCCCCATGAAGCCTGCCAATTCTCTCTCAAGTTAGGAGGCAAGGAAGAAGCATTACATTGTCAGCTTTCAAAGCCCTTGAGGCAAAAGGCAAGGTCTGAAGTCATTTCTTAGGTGGCTGATAAACTGGGCTGAAGGCACTTCTGATAATGGAGTACCTCCAGAAATGACATTCGCAGAGCAGCATATGCAAGGGCAGGACTCAGTGGACTTTGTCTCACATGTGCAGTCAGTGTGCTTCAGGTTTCAGGAGAGATGTTTGCCTGAGTAAGGGAGGAAGAGAGTCAGTTCTGCCCAGAAAAACTTTTTTTTCAAGATTTATCTCCTATCTCATTACCTTTTTATTATTTGTTGATTCTGGACTATTTCTTGATTTCTAATGCAAAGGCTTATTTTTGGTAAAAAAATTCATTATAGTATAAATGTCCCATTGACTTAAGGCAGTGATGGATTTTACTTTTCCCTTTGATAGTTTCCCTGGTGTCTGTGTATGGAAAGCAAAATATTCAACTTTCAGAGAGAGTCATCTTTGTCCTGATTGATTTTTTTAAACATATTCTTTATTATATGTTGTGCTTAGAGCCTATCTGCATATCTGCATTAACTGAGAACCATGAGGTATCTGAGGAGGCAGTCTATAACTTCACTCTGGAGGCTAAAGGTTTTGAAGTAGTCCCCCTTTTTTTCTGTTATTTGTTGTTTTTCCTCCCTCCTCCCCTGTCTTGTTCATTTTGTTGTTAGGAAGTGAGGCGCCCCAAGGAGCAACTTATGGAAGCCTGTCTCAGCTAGAGGCTAGCAGCAGCCCCTGTGACAGTGAGTGAGAACCAAGTTAAGGAGCACTGATAAAGATAGGGTAATATGCTTACTTTTCAAAATCCCTTACATTTTAAGACTGGTGTTTTTGGTTTAGGAAGGGTGCATTTTTCTAGTTAAGGCTGCTGCCCAGTAAGACCTAGGCTTGCAGGCGGAGTGGGAAGACTCAGGCTTCTCTTAACCGCCTGCAGGCCATTGTTACCTGAACTTGGCTTAATGAGCACCAGAGGTATTTGTTTTGATAGATAAGTGATTTTAAATTCTAGTAAAATATGAAAAATGTTTTTAGTGCCTGAAATTTTAATATAAGTTCCTCACATTGATAGTTTTTCCTATAAGAAAATATATTAATATTTTTATTTTATTAATGAGAAAAGAGACTAGACTCATAGATAATTTAAGGAGAACAGTTTAGATTTTTTTTTTTTTTTTTGAGAGAGAGAGAGAGAGAGAGAGAGAGAGAGAATTTTCCAACATTTATTTTCTAGTTCTCGGCGGACACAACATCTTTGTTGGTATGTGGTGCTGAGGATAGAACCCGGGCCGCACGCACACCAGGCGAGCGCGCTACCACTTGAGCCATATCCCCAGCCCAGTTTAGATTTTTTTATATAACTTAAGATAATAAAAAATGTTCAAATTTCCCCTTATTCATATAAACTCTGAATTGCTTTATTTAATTTTTTAAAAATTTTCCCGTTGTAATTCATTTTTCGCCTAAAGTGCAAGTCAAGGTATTTTACTTTAAAAATACTCATTTAAGAGAAATATTATTTGGAATGGTAAAATGTGATTGCTTTTGAGCAAAAAGAAGGAAAAAAAAGTTATAGGCTCATATAAATAAACGTGCGTGTGTGTGTGTGTGTGTGTGTGTGTGTGTATTCTCAGTTTAATGTAACTTGAAGGAGTAAGTCTGTTTGATTTTTTAAAAAAATTTTTGAAGAAATATATAATACAATTCAGTGAATTTTGTGTTTTAGGGCTTTAAGATTTTGTGTCGTAATCGTGTTTCAAGAATAGGTACCTCTAACAGCAGCTTTAGAAATGTCAGTTTCTTCATTAACAATTTTATTTTCAAACACAATTTATGGTTTACAATATGGTAAGAGATTTTTCTCACTGTGTGATCTTTCAGAATGCTGTGCCTAGCAAAATGGGAGCAACTTTCCTTTAATATCTATTTAGACCATTTTAAAAACATGTATAATTTTCTTGATACACCTAAGCTCATTTTGAATAGCTGGAGGTCCATTGTGTAAGAACGTACTCTGAAAGCTTTCCGCACGGGCATTGTGGGGGCTTTCTCAGAAAAAGAGAGGGGTGATGGGGTGGTTTTCAAGAAGAACAGAGGCCTCTAATCCTTTTATTTTTATGCAAGGCATAATTTTTACCAATTGAGAAAATTTGGTTATTTGCTGCAAGTAATTTTCCCCATTTACAGAATGATAAACCTTAAAAAAAAAAGTGCATATTCTGGCATTTCAAAACCATGCCAATATTTTAGAATTGTACTAAAAATTAGTTAATGTAACCATGATATTTATGGCTAGTATACCATGTCCCTCCTGTTCATGAAATGGAAATTACTCTTGGTGTTATTTTTGAATTATCATGGGTTTTTATCCATTCCTGAGATTTTTCGGGAAGGAATGACTGGTCAAGAAATACATGTTTTTAAAGGCACCCTACGAAGAAGTTTCCCACTTGTTTTTTTTACTGTCTTAATTATACAATTATAGAAGAGTATTCTAAACTAACATATGTTATTTTTCAAATATCAGATTTTACACAGATCTTATGACCTATCGTCATTAATAGTGTATTATGAAAATAATTATGTTTTAACTTAAAGAGAAAAGAAAACAGACTATTCTGTAACAATCAGAATTGAGTATTAGGGAAAATGTTGAATTAATAATACAACAGAGTCTCCAAGGTGCTTCATACTAATTACATAATAAATTCAGGGTAGCAATAGCATTTTGATTTGCTGGGAGAAACTTTAGACCGAAGCTGGTAAGCAGTAATATTTAAGAGCAAAATGTCAAATTAGGACATTAATGAGAATAGTGCTATTTGGATATAGCTGTATTGTTCTTTGTAATATGCCCATAAATTCAAAATTTATGGAAATTTTTTAATTGATTTGTATTGATTAATCAATTGACCTTGATTTTTGTGACATTTTGTCAATCTCGCAACCAGAATACTTCCAAGTTTTGATGTAAAATTAACTTAAAAATTCTTGAAATACAAACCTAAAAATCTGCTGTGGTGTAATTTTAATAGAAGGCTATATCACAAAAACTTAAGAAAAAAAATCTCAAGTTCTTAATTCAAACACTGTGTATTTTAAGTGACAAGAAAAAGGGTAATTTATATAAATTTAAAGTTTGCTGTAATTGAAATGTATGGTAATTGAATAAACTGTAACTTGCTGAAGTAACATGTTACTTTTTAAATTGATCTTCCAGTTAAGTAAGTAAATAAACCCACAGTAAGAAAACCTTTAATAGTAAGAGACTATTATTATATACATGGTAGAAATTTTGTCCCAGACTAGAACATGTTGTGTCCTTTTCAGAAAAGAAATGTAGATCTCTTTGCAGTTCAAAGTGTTCACTGATAAATTAGGAATTGCAAGGCTATGCCTCGCTCTGGTGCCATTGCTCTGTTTAGGGAGAAGTAGGAGGCCTGGGAAGGAAATGGCAGCACTAGGCAGTGTGGCCTGGCTGCAGCAAGCCTCCAGCAGCCCTGTTTCTTTCAGCTGGGGTGGAGGGCCAGGGATTGTCACTGGAGACTTAGAACAGCATCAAAGATGATGCTTGTCTAGGAAACCACTTGACTGGGAGCCGTGTGATTCCCACTTGATTCCCAGTGGGAAAGGTTTTTATTCTAACCTAGTCTGGTGCTTAAAGAACACAAGTGAAACTTTAAACCCCAAATCCCTGGCATGCTTCACCTTCTCACTTACCCCTAGGCAGTGGGTGTTTGTTGCTGTAGTTTATTTACATTTGGGGTCAGTATTTTAAATTTGGGGGAGAACTATTTTAGTACCAATGTAAGTTGGATGTGTTTTTACCAGTAGGAGTTCTTAATGCAGATAGACTTTGCTAGCATATTTTTTGACATATTAAAAGAATTAACATAATTTTGTAAGATTTTTATGATGTTGAGTAGTACCTTTTGTGGAGATTTCATCCACAAACCGATCATCAGAGTCGATTAGATTTTAAAGTATTAATAGCTGTAGATAGAAGTATTTGTACGTTTGTTCTTTTGCTTATATAAATTAATGATTCAAATTTCTTTGATTTCTCTTCAAGGTTCAAGAACCAGAAAGAAAGTCCAGAAGTAAATCAAATGCAGTGAACCAACTTTTTTTCCCTTTTCATTTGACTTTTTTTCTCCTTTTCTGTTTTAAATTTTATTTTCATGGGAGTGTTGAGGGGTGGGAATAATAATTAAATACCTATGTCTTTGAAAAACAAACTTTTTTTTTAATTAAAATGAACCCTTGTACAGTTTATTAAAGACTAGTTTATGAAATTCCAAAATCTTCAGGTTTGCTCTTTAAGCTATCTCAGTCTSTGTGTGCATGAAGTTTTAGAGTACATAGAAGAAAAATTACCATGAAAATACACTTTTCTAATCATGTGCATTTCTCAGAGTGGACAGAAATGTTTGTTGGAGTCTTCATTTTTAAGGAAAATTTAAAATAAAGGTCTCATTATTTGCTTGGCATAAATTTTTTTTTTTTTTTTTTTTTTTGTGGTGGTAAGGTGTGGTTTGTATTGATTTTAGTTGTTGTTGTTCTCCATAATGTTTATTGAGCACCTGCTGTATGAGACATGAGGTGCACACAAGGGCAAGGGCTATAAAAACGTGCAGTAGGCACAGTTGTATTTATGAGAGAGAAAATGCACATATTTGAAAATTAGATTATAGAAGAATGGTATGAGTATGTAAGCCGTCTGACAAGAAAATGGGATAAATGATCACATGGGACACTGTCACAGATTGTGTAGAGCCTGGTTGCCTTTAAGGAACTCCTGTCTACTGGATATATTCATTCACAGGAGATGATTTTCTTAACAAGTTTTATTTGTGCAGCAAATGATATTTGTACATCAAACCAAGCACTATAAAATTTCAGTGATTAGAGATTTTAAGGTCTAGAATATTTAACTTGTCTTGGGAACAGAACCTCAGAATTTTAATATTTATGAATAATTCCAAGATATAGTTCTCAAAGTTTACTTTGTTAGAAAATTGGGATCAGACATATTCTCCAGTGGGTAGAACACCTTATCACCTGTAGCATATTCAGTGTTTTAAAGTAGTATGTGGACGCAGTCTTATTTAAATGTTGAAGTATTTTAACAAGTATTCAAAATATTACTGGCACATTAAGGTGTTGATTTCTCTATAGCTTAGGACAAGCCTAAAATAGATATTTGAGTTTTTAAAAAGTGAATTGATATAGAAACATAATAAGTTTGTAATAATACAGGTGGGGTACGGCATACCAAAAATTTTCAAGGTGTACCAAGTTTGAGAAACTGAACCAACACAAAGACAATAACTTTTGGTTCTCCAGTGTAGAACTGTCATGTGAAGTTGTCATGTGAAGTATTTGTCCCTATAATGGGCAGATATTTTTCAATGCAAAACAGATCTGCACAGTTTTTTAAAATCAATTTTTTAATGCCTCTCAAAGGTATCGAGTTATGTGTCTTTACAGAAGAGAGAATTAAATTTTGGGCAGGGAGTCCTACTTCCTGTAGAATGTTGAATTTTAGTACTGTTCAGTGTTATGGGCCCAAGTTTATTCGTAACACCTAAATCAACTCTCAAGTTCTGTTTTAAACACATTGATGCTTAAAATAGGATAAAATGTGTGTGATGTGTTTTTGTATATATGCTGTAGCCCTTTTTATTTTTCAAAACACAAAAACATAGCAAAACGTGTTGGTTAAACATTAAGAAAACAAATATTTCATCACATATTGTTTTAAACAAGTGCTGACATTTTCTCGAATGTTACTGTATTGGCAGGGCTACAGAAGTTAATGCAAAACTACTATCCATGCTAGCCAGTTTGATGTATCAGCCACAGCCCCTGTTCTGCTATTCTTTTATTCCCTACTGTGCACTGGATTTTCCTCCACCCTTTATTTTTAAGAAGTGGCCAAGCAACTTACTTGGCATTCAGTGGTAAGCGTTTTTCCTTGCCCTTTTCAGTTTTTTAGTTCTCCCCCCACCCCCAATATCCTGCATTATTTTTATTTTCTTTCTAAGAAGTGGATTTCTATTTTTGCCCCGTGCCCCCCCCCCCCCCCCCCCCCCCCCCCCCCCCCCCCGCAGTCTAGCCTCCATATTCTAACCTGTCATAACACCACTGTGTCCTGCTTTCTCTGCCATTTTCTTGGGTCCTTAGTGAGCTGATGTTTTCTAGTCTGTTGAGGATCAGCACCTGTTCCAAACTCTTGTCCCACATGATAGAATTTATGTGTGCTGTGTGTTTTCTAGAAAGCAGCTGATAAGTCTTTGATAACTAACTAAAGCCCAGTGTAAAGTAGCTTCAACAGTTCTTCTTTGTGTTTCTGAAGACAAAATGCCAGTACAGCAGAGCTATAAAACCCTGATCATTTCTTTGAATTAATTAAGTGTGCATCTAAAGACCTAAGTTCCATAACAGTAAATTAGTGTTGAAATATAAGTAATTTATGTGTTGGTGTATAATCTATCTATATGCCATTGAGCGTTCTTATTCTTTAAAATCCTATTTTCAGTGTTCTGTATTCTTCTGATTATCATGGTGTGTTAACAATCTGTGGTTGTCGTAGAACGTTGAAAACATATAGACAAGTGTCAAGAGGCAAAACAGCTTTACTACCACCCACAGGCAACCACTGTTAGTGTTGTCAGTATTTTGACACATTTTCTTCTAAACTTTTCTATACACTTTATCTACTTTAAATACTTTATGTAAAGCTAATATTCTGCTTTTTAAAACTAACATGAAATACTTTTCATGTAGTTACAGATGCTTTATGAATATATCTTCTATGTTTTATTTTTTTTCTCATGGGTGTATGATGCTTTCATGACTGTTTCCCTAATATTTAACATTGAAGTTATTTTCATTTTTGATACATTATAAATAATTCTTGAACAAAATTGGGTAGAAATCTTTGTTAACATGTATGAATATTTCCTTAGATTTAAAAAAGTAAACTGCTGGGTCAAAGACTGAAATGGATACATGTTCTCAAATTATTTTATAAAAGTCTATCCGTTAATGCCTTGACCAGTAAATTGGAGAGCCTAAAACTTACGTTTTATCTTAAGTGCTGTGGACTGAATGTTTGTGTCCTCCCCAAATTCATGTTTAAGGCTGATTCCCAGGTGATGGTAATAGGAGGTGGAGCCTATTGAGTCATGAGGGCAGGGCCCCTCTAGGGATTAGTGCCCACAGAAGACAGATGATCTCTCTTCAACACATGGCCATCTGCAAAAACCAGGATATGGCCCTCCTCAAGAGTAAATCTGCTGGTACTTTGAACTTGGATTTCCCGGTGTCTAGAACTGTGAGAAAGCAATGTCTGTTGTTTAAATCATCAAATCTGATACTTTGTTATACCAGATCGAACTAAGACATTGTTATTTTTATTTGATAAGGTAAATTTTGTTAGATTGCTAGTGAACCTGAACGATTCTTTATTTATATACTAGACATTACAAAAATTTTTGTAAATTTTTTTAGAGGTTTTCTTTTTTTTAACTTTTATTTTTAGTTGTAGATGGACACAATACCTTTCTTTTATTTATTTATTTTTATGTGGTGCTGAGGATCGAACCCAGTGCCTCACACCTATGTGCTAGGCAAGTGCTCTTCCACTGAGCTACACTCCCAGCCCCATCATTCTATTTTTTTTCCTTGTTGTGTTAGTATACTGTTTATATGATAATGACCTTAATTAACCCTTTGTCCTATTTGTTGCTGACTTATTTTTTCCTATTTATTTCCTCTTGGATATGGTTTTAGTTTTTATAAAGATTAGTATTTATTTATTTGGTGCCAGGGATTGAACCCAAGGGCACTTGGACCCTGAGCTCCATCCCCGGACCTATTTTGTATTTTTATTTAGAGATAGGGTCTCACTGAGTTGCTTAGTGCCTCACCATTGCTGAGGCTGGCTTTGAACTTGTGATTCTCCTGTCTCAGCCTCCTGAGACCCTGGGATTAAAGGCATGCGCCACTGCACCCAGCATGAAGATTAGTTTTATGGCTTTAATCTATTGATCTTTTCATCATAATTTTGCCACCATTTTAAAATATTTTCTATCCTGAAATCAGAAATATTTACTGTGACTTTTTTTAGACTTTTTGTTCTAACAATTCTAATTTTGCAGCCTGTGTGGAATTTATTTTGGTGTGTGTATGCCATGAGGTAAGGCTCACATGGAAAGGAGCAAACCAGTACTGCAGGAATAAACCATCTGCCCCACCCTCCTGCATACTGGCTCGTGGTGCCTGCTGTGTTCATCCTGAGTTCTATCAGGGTTTGTTTTTGGACTGTTTCATTTCATTGGGCCAGTACCACACTGATTTAACTAAGGCCATTTACTTTATTATTTATTATCCAAATTGCATTAACAAAAATCACAATGAAGAAATTCATTTATGGCCTCACCACTACTACAAAAATCACACTCTTGCCCTTTGGCTAGGTTATTCCTACCTTAGTTTCTAGCTTTATAAGTTTTTATAGTATAGTAGTTGTATGGATAAAATTTTTGTAAATTTTTTTTAAAGATCCATGGGTTATTCTGAGCCCCCTCATTCATTGAGCTCTATGATACAGAGATATACAAGGCACACTAAAGAAGAAATGCTGTAAAAAGGTCTTTATAAATACAGCCCTTATACCAGGTGCTATGGCACACACCTATGAGCCCAGTGACTTGGGTGGCCGACACAGGAGGATTAGAAGTTTGAGGCCAGCCTCAGCAATTTAGCAAGGCCCTAAGCAACTTAGACCCTGACTCAAATTTTAATAATAATAAAAAAGGCCAGAGACGTGTCTCAGTGGTTAAGTGCCCGAGTTCAGTCCCCAGTACCAAAAAATTAAATAAATTAAAAAAAATAGAGCCTCACAACTTATCTAAGTTTGATCGTAATTAGAATGGTATTCTGAAATATCAGAAATATGAGTGGGGGTGATCTGTAAGATAATGCTTGTGCTTATCATACAAAAACAGGAAGTTGAGGAGTGAATCCAGAGTAGAAGGGGTGGTAAGGTGAACTGTAGTGAAGGGTGATTACAAGTGAGTAAAACAAGCAGCTTTTAACACTTGGGCAATTGTTTCTTTAAAATGGGAAAAATTGCTGTGCTTAATATTCTCTCTGACCTCCACTTGACCAAAAATGAGTACAGAAATTCATGATAGTCCATGGTATAATCCTCAGATCCAAGAGGCCCAGCATACTTCCTCAGGCTTTCCCTATAAGGGACCCATTTATTATCCAAACTGCATTAACAGA